TTGGATTTTCTTTAACCACATGCACAAGCTTACCCTACAGTACTCTTTTAGTTTTAATTCCACTTAGTTTAGTAATAGATTTCAGTAAGAGATAAGTCATATTTTTTTCTAAAAAAAATCCTTTTCTTGTGGTTTGCTTAAATGGTCTATAGTAACTGAACATCTAGAAAATTCAGCTTAAAATCTCCCATGATCGATACTTAAAGATATATTTTCTTCTCAATAGAACTCATATCTGTGCACCTCTCAATAATTGAGATAACTTTTAAATGTAGTTCTTGGTGTTTAATGAATTCGCCCTTCGACACCCTTGCATTTTCTGTACACATGGCTTCAAAATATCACCTATATCATACGTGACAAATTCATCATGCGCATTCTACATAATTATCTCTTTAATTACTTACACAATTTGTAATACTAGTTACAAACACTAAGACATGGATCTGATTATCAAACAACGCAAGTTGCTTGTAAAACTTGTTTCAGCGTAGGCGATGTCTATTTGAGCAAGAGCCCGTAGACACTATCATTTCACCCAGTATAGTAAAGTTGTTCAACACAGATCCAAGAATTACGCGACAACAGAATTACTGGGGCAATGTAAATAGGAACAAAATTTAAGAAATATTATATTGTGTAGGTAGATAATTCAAGTCACGTTACAGGCGTGGTAGCTGCGTACCTATGTTCGTGGTAGGTGGCGCTCCATAATGTCTGGCATATGACCAGATCTTTTATAGAAATTGTTATAATGTTCTTATTTATAAAATAATCTAAACAAGGATGATCACTAGGGGTTAGCATTTTTTTATGTCATAGGACATAATCAGCGCCGTTCATGGACACACGCAACAACGGATATTTTTTGGGGATTTGGGATAGGATTAGGGATAATATAGGATTGGTCGTCCGGCAACCTTACTCACATTGCGAAACAAAACGCTTTGGTTGTTTCACGCCGGTTTTCTTTAAGGCCGTGGTATCACTCCCGACCGATTTGTGCATGGTTCTCCACCACTTAGTGCCGGTTGCATGCAAATAGCAGTCTTATTCAATATTAATTAAAGCTTTAATTCTTAAAACATCACGAAGGAATGTAGGTCCATATCCTTATATTCCATAATCCACGTTTCTCTCACTACCTGTCCAATACAACGATTAACTTTGTGATAACCATTACTCATTTACTTGCTTAACGTCGAGTTTGCTTGCTGTCTTGTTGTAACCATGAATTAGCATTTTAGGAATCATTGCTTCTTATATGTGACGTAATGATCTGTCAGTAACCTCATTGAACCAACTATCGAATTATTGCAAGACAATATTGTTTTCTGTGGTTATAGGTTTACTATCGTCCCATAAGTTGGAAAGGATAAAGCGCATCAAGTTTCAAGGCTCGTAACAGAACATGGAACTGAGAGGTTTTTAGTCAGTAAGAGCCTGACACTCTCTGTTGCCCTTGATAGATTTCTTGCTGCGATCTAGATTTCCTCCCTTCAAAACAAGAAGGTGGACAGATGATTTAGCGGAGGTTCCAGGGAGCTTGTGGATAATGGTTGTTTAAACAATAGATCTGGAAGTTATTGACCAAAATGGTGATGATTAAGAAGGAAAAATATTATTTTATAAATTTCTGATTTATATCCCTGGATATAAATTATATATCGTCTAATTTCTTTATGTTTAACTTAATTAAATCTTCAACAAAATAACTCTATTGTTTGTACAATTGACGTAGAAAACTCTTCAAAACTACTAGATTCAGAAAGATCTGATTAAACTACTATTTATTTAAGCGAAAATGCCAAATAACATCTTCAAACTAGTTAGGATATCTGTAGTAGATTCAGTTAGTGATTGGTTCGTAAGTGAACTCTAATACCTTCGCCAAGGATACGCCCTTCATGTATCACTTCGATCATTCATAAGGCAAGTTCAAACTACTTGCATTGCCCTTCCAGTTATTATTGACTTATTACCACATTCTTTGCTTGTTCTTTCTACTAGATACTATTGTCATTTTAATATTTAAGTTTTTCATCCATAATGTTGTCATTATATCGTAAAATAAAAAAAAGGTTTTAATAATTTCCTTTTTCTTTAGAAAAAATAATTCTCAATGTTTTTTATTTATTTATTTAATGGTTTTTATTCGCATGAATACGCTAACCCCACTGTACTAAGTGTAATAATTAGGCATGTATAAAAATCTGCTTAGTACTTCTTAACTGAGACTTGACAGAATTAGTATTAATTCAATATTAAGAAAGTTTAGCTTCAAATTTTCGATTCATAAATTATCTTGTATGCTTGATATCTTCTGCTCCTCTCAATTTATAATTTTAATTTAATTACATGAAGGTTAATCGATCTAAATACTTACAAATTTCAAGAAAATCTTCAAGGTAAAAATTTTGATATAAGAAAAGTAGGCAAAAAAGATGTCAGTAAACATAACAACGCCAAAATACTGTTTAATAATGTAACAACTGAACTAATTTGTTGATAACACGATAATGCAAATTTATGTAAATGTACAATTGTAAAATGTAATTGTATGTAACTGATATCATGCACGATTTATACGCATTAACATGATACAGACATTAATATCCCTGGATCACGAATCGCTGACAAAATAAAGTGTTTTTGTATAACGACCATTTGAGTATTGAATCATAATTATATTTGTAGATTAACTTAATCTTAAGTTAATATCTTCATTTGATTGAGAAGTTCTAATTCACGTTTGCTACCAAAGAGATCCTAGTTAAATGTGTGTGGAAAACTCGTACTAAAAAAAGGATTTATTCTGTGCTTTTCTATCTCCTTTCTAGCAAAAAGATAAAAAGCCAAAGTTTTGTTTGATATGTAGAGAGAAACAGAGTGGTCCAGTCACAAATCGATGTAAACTAAAATAATATTTTATAGTACCTAATTACTTACGTCATTTACAAGTTAAGCCACAATCAAAGTGGAATTATTTATTTCAATTAGACAAATAAAGGCACTTTTGAACGGCAAATAATTTCAATATATTATATGGAACAAATTAATAGCTTCACTTATTTTACTGAAGGCTGATTTTCAATGGTTTGATAAAAGTTACCTGAGGAATAATTAAGATGCTGTCGCGCCAGAATGTTTGTTTAAGACAGTGACAGCAACAATTTTATTCCTCAGATAACATTTATCAGACTATTAAAAATTTTGCCCTAAGCCTACTATATGTACTTATAAAGTGAAGCTATTTTTTCGTTCCAAAGTTCAAAATTCTATGAAGAAAAACAACAAGAAACTCAATGGTTACTGCTTTTCAATCTTTTTCATAAGCATTCTAAGTCCTAGAAATTTACCTGGCATGTACCTACTTTACTTTTTGTCAAAGAGTGAATTGATGAGAACTTCCAACGAAATGAAATTTTGCAAGCGGATACAATTTTATTTACTTAAAGATGATTCAACGACCTTCACCTCCATATAATTGGCATGTCCAAGGACTTTACTTGGAAATAGAGCTCTGTACGTAATAAATGTATGAACGTTATAATTTCTTAATAACTGTCTGCGTGGTCGAGCAAAGTATTATTGCGAAAGTATCAAATTTTCGGTATTTATTATAGGCATATATGACACAGACCTTGTCAGCCCCATCGTAGCTCATACATAACATTAAAATAAAAAGAATATAACGAGAAAAATCAATTAAACTATTTTTAATACATAGATATACGAAATGCTCACGAGTAACAAACATCATATTGATGGAGACAGCTGCTGACGAAATTATAAATCTTATAAGCATCTTGACTGAAAAGGTTGGAAGTCCTAAATATAATCTTTTGGTGTTTAATTCTGAGAAAAAGATGTTTTTTTCTCTCCGATAACGTGCGCATTCCATCAACATATGAGAGATACACACATCTTCAATAGTCTTAATTTTAACACGAAGTTTAGATTTGTGGGCCCAGCCTATAGCTATAATGGGCAAACGTCTTAAATAATGAGACTCGTTGGCAAAGTCCTATTTCTGTCTCATCCTTCTAATTTATTTTGCCAGGCTTATACATATTTTTTAAAAATTTGCTTGTGATTTTTTGAATCTGATAGTTTGAGATTCCTCTTCCAGGAATTATTTTCCTTTTTTAAGAATTCGTCTAGATTGTCATGTTCATTTGTTTACCGATTCATTGTAAATTTGTAAAGAAGATAAGCTTTTAAACAAGCAAACATTAGTGCTTTGTTTAACTTAGTTTTAAATATCGTAAAGCATTTTAATATAATTTATAGTCTATTTGAAGTAAGCGCGTAAATAAACAAATTTGTTGGATAATTGCTGTAAAGTTAATTACTATATGGTTAATAAATAAAAGTAATTCTACCAACTGCTTTTACTCGGTCAACATTTATAAAACAATGGAATGTGTAAAAGTGATTTTTATATTGTAATTAAACATCTTGAAACTTTTACATTTACAGTCTTCAAGTATAATTTGTAATTGAATATATAAGTACTAAAATAACACCATCATAGTGACAATGTTATTTATTACAAAAACAAAGACTACATCGAAAGAAAACCCCAAGGATAGCCGTAAAAACAACAAATATCAAGTAAATACATATCAAATGTTCACCAACGCATTCACTAAACTGCAACATACGAACAAAACATGAACGCCGCAACCTTGAGGCCTTACAAAGGAAAAGCATTCACAGATCGCCATTAGACGATTACGTTAATTATATTTAAATTATATCATTGCTAGCGAACCGGTCGCCTCGAATCTCAGCGTAGACAGATATAGAGCATTTTGGCTCGCTCGATTCCGAACCCCCTCAAAAGCGAAAGTGTAACATGGTCCTATAGAGTGCCGCCATTTTTTTTTCTTCGCTCGGCCGCTCTTACCTCGTATATATAGCGAAGCTACGAACGATCACGCATCATTCGCATTCAGGACTTCGCTGACTTCAGTGCAACCTACTAGTGCAGCATCATGAGGCACATGGTGTGTTCAAACTTTGAAATTCTCAAAATTACCAAAATTAACAAGTGACAGTGCTAACAAATAATTGTAACGCCGCGGGGTTGTGACAGTGCCTGGATATGCAAAACCCCCTTGTCCCACTTTTAACAATTTACGCAACAAGGAAATTGCGTACTTAGTGTGTAGTTGTCTGCACCGATGTTAACTCGACCAGTCATTAAAACAACGAGCCTCGAAGCATATTTGCACCAGATAATTAGTCAACTGCGATAATAACTTTCAATTATGTGTATTCTTACAATATCATATGTTCTAGTTTTGGTTATTAAACTTTGTCTCTTTGTCAACAGCTCGTGGCCGCCAGTCTGGTGGCTCTCTTGGCCTTCGTCAACGCCGAAGAAGCTAAGGCAGCAGAAAAAGAAGTGGCAGTGACCGACAACAAGGAAGTCGCGTCAGACGACAAGAAGCACGAAAAGAGAGGAGTGTTCGACATCGGACTCGGCTATGGACACGGTGGACACGGTGGATTCGGTGGTAGCTTCGACGGCGGTTTCGGTGGCGGTTACGGAGGCGGCTACGGCGGTCATGACACCCACTCCCACAAAACCATCACTGTGGTGAAGAACGTCCCAGTCCCCTACCCAGTAGAGAAACACATCCCCTACCCAGTAGAGAAGAAGGTTCCCGTGCCCGTCAAGGTGCACGTTCCCCAGCCCTACCCAGTCGTCAAGCACGTTCCTTACCCAGTCAAGGAGATCGTGAAAGTACCAGTACATGTACCTCAACCCTACCCAGTTGAAAAGAAGGTACCTTACCCCGTCCATGTACCAGTAGACAGGCCCGTCCCCGTCAAGGTGTACGTACCTCAACCCTACCCCGTTGAGAAGAAGGTGCCAGTGCCCGTCAAGGTCCATGTCCCAGCTCCTTACCCAGTAGAAAAAAAGGTGCCCTACCCAGTGAAGGTGCCCGTACATGTCCCCGCTCCTTACCCAGTTTACAAGGAAGTGCCCTACCCAGTCAAGGTCCCCGTCGACAGGCCTTACCCAGTACATATCCCCAAGCCTGTGCCTTACCCAGTTGAGAAGCCCGTGCCCTACCCAGTAGAGAAGCCCGTTCCTTACCCAGTGAAGGTCCCCGTCGACCGCCCCGTGCCTGTGCACGTTGAGAAACCCGTGCCCTACCCCGTGAAGGTGCCAGTACCAGCGCCTTACCCCGTTGAGAAGCACATCCCCTACCCCGTCGAGAAGCCCGTACCGTACCCCGTGAAAGTCCCCGTCGACAGGCCCTACCCTGTCCACATCGAGAAACACGTGCCAGTCCACATTGAGAAGCCCGTGCCTTACCCCGTGAAGGTACCAGTCCCCGTTGTTGTCGGTCACGGACATGGCCACGAATATGGTCATCATGATAGCTACTAAGGCTGCAGGGAGCAGACGTTTGAATGTGATACATAAATATAAGATTAGCACTAATACGAACGGGGGGCGTGTAATACCCCTGCATGGATAGTGGTCGTATTACCAGATCCTAGGACCTCGTATTCCACGACCCGCGATCGAACGCACTGAACTAAATACTCTATTAGTCTACTTTTTGTTATTTTTTTTTAATCGGTTGAAGTTACGTTTGAGTTTATGTACCTGTTATTTTAAGACAAAAATAATAAATGAAGTTTTGAATTTCCTTTAACTTTGAATGAACGAACTGATTGTGAAAATAAATGGCCACGCCAATTATGATATTATATGTCGGTTGTTTTAATTCATGCATTGTCCCTGTGTAATTGGGTGTAACGTTATGGGTCTTTAAATAAGTTTTACGAAATGCGAAATAATATGACCCAGATAGAAGCATCGCGAGCGGATAGCCGCTAGTTACGCGTGTGACGAAACTTGGTACATTTTCACTCTTGACAATAAACAGGCGGTACGCGATCTTTGTTTTGCGTAATACGCGGTTATATTATGCGAGCGTAATCTCGCACGATTACAATTAACTACTATGTTCTATCGCTATTTATTAGCGCACTGTAATCAATAACACAGAAACATGTTTCAATCGTACTGGAACTGTTGTTCGCTCGTAAATTCATTGCATAAAATTACCGATTCGTTGAGCATCCATTTGTCAAATTGCTGATTGATTACTAAGTTAGCGCTGATCTTTCAAAATCAGTACCTTGGTTTACAGCGTGTGTTTTATGAGCATTAAGTGTTGCAAAATGTCATTACATGCGGAGGTTGTTTACTGTCAACCATTCTGCGACAAAGTGTCCGATCGAACGGAATTACGCAAATATGATACTCATTTTGCGCAACTTTTGTTTTTAAACAATGTTTATTGATATCGTATGGACTTTTATGTAGTTTATTGCGTAATAATAAATGTCGAATAAGCTTTGCGGTTTCGGTAATTGGTAGTAAAAAAAAATCATCGATGCGTTTGTATAGTGGGAAATTGTAGCAATGCAAGTACGTAATAATAAGAAATCATTCTCATCCTACTATACTACACGTAGGAGTAATTTGAGTGGTATAATCGGTAACTTCGCACTTGCGTGATACATATGCAACTTGGCGGTGCTATGCGCATTTTCGCAGTATTCAATACTATGCTAAGCCGTTCGTGTATTGAAATAGCCAGGAAACCCTTACGTAAGGAGAATGTTGTCATACGCATTGTACCAGATATATACTATATCCTTTTAAGATCAATCAGGTCAATAGTGTCCACTGCATTTAATACTGAATCAGAATTTATTTAAATTAAAATCTTTTTCATATCCCAAATAGGAAATTAAGAATTAAATAAAAAATGGTAATGCTCAAAGAATGCACTAAAATCCACATTATTTCCTTGGCCTTGAAGTTAGAATATTTTAATGACTAATGATGCATAATTTAATAAATTAGTTGCAAACTTGAACTTCTAATACCGACAAAATAGTTAGTACTCTTTGGTATCACAATTGGTTTATTATTTTCTTTGTACTTTTATAAACAGATTAAAAATCACTTAGTTGAATGACAAAATTTGACCGCGTTTTAATATTATATTATACATGAAAAAATAAAGCGCTAAATCACTCCTTTTATGTTCAATACTCCAATTATGTCTGACCCATAAGGGAGCATTTAATGGAAATTACTGCATTCTCTTGATAATAACTACTGTTTTCAATATTAGTTTATTATTAGTTTCAGTCTTTTCTCACCCGCCCATACCCACTACCATATTCGTATCAGATTTGGACTTGTTCTATTTTTTGTGTGAAGCCCAAAACAACGACTTATGTGTCACATAAAAATTGGTTAATAGAAAATAGAAACAAAAAATTGGAACCCGGTACATGCTGCACAGCAGCCATTTGTCAAGCCACTGAGTCAACCGTGCAGTCAAATAACTTCTTAATATCTTAAAGTGTATTTTTATTCAACCTCAATTATAGAAGTCCTAACATTAAAGGACAGACAGTGAATTTCTCGAAGACCAAAATAGGAGGACCCTCCGACCGGGGTAGCTGATCAATGCCTGGTGGATTACTGCATGATTCGTTCCTTTTAATTGTAAGGTAAAATATAAATAGAAAATTCTAGAAAAATCCAATAACATTTGGATTAAGCAGCTATTTCGGTTTTTCGTCTCCTTTTCGATTCGAGATCCATGATAGACATTTGTCTTCTGTTTCATCAGTTTTTTAGAGTTGTCATAGTTGTATCTACTATATATCCTAGCTTACAGGAGTTGCAACGTTTTGACAGTTTGTGGCGGACTTGTTCCATATTACTTACAAATACCTGAGGCTATTGAACTCGTGACCTCGTGATCCTATATAATCACAAATTTAAAAACCATTTTACCTGTGTCACAAACACTTGTAAAAACATTATTCTAATACAATGTAGCATATTAATGTTATACACACTAATAAATCAGTAATCTTTATAACATTCCATTGAAGGCTTTTGCGATCTTAGTATTGCATTTGACAGCGTGTAGCAACGATGCATGTTAAGATCAATAACTGACATTTAAAACTTCTAATATATTTACACATAAAAGTAGTGATTAGCGTTTTATTTGTTCATCAAATTTATAAGCATCGGAAAAAAGAAATTAGGATAAAGAAGACAGAGGGATAAAAGTAATTTTCAGTTAGCAATATCTCTGTTTTTAAAATGTTAAATAATAGTAAAATGAAAAACCAATCCTAACAGTTTTAATATAAAGCTCAAGTAAGCAGTCAGTGGCAATCCCAGACCCAGTAAGGGTCTTTATAATTTATTATAACTTTATTTTGTAATTTTATCAAACTCATTTTACTATATACCTAATATTAATCATGTCATACGGTGAAGGTAAACATCGCGAGGAAACCTGGCCTTATAATTTCTAATTATAAGTATGAAATCGCCAACCCGCATTGAGCAAGCGTGATGGTTAATGCTCAACCTTCTCCGAGTGAGAAGAGGTCTTTGCACAGCAGTGGGCACTTATAAGCTGCTGCTGATGATGACGATGATGAATATTATTCAGACGAAGAGTTTGTTAGTTATGAACCACATCAATATTCGGAATTACTGGTATTTTATCATGTTGTATAGTCCATTTATCGAAGAAGGCTACGACCAATAGGGGCCAAGCAGCAGGAGAATTTGAAAAATTAAACTAGATTTTTACATTTCGAATGTTTCGAATTACCTTATTGACTTACGTATATTTGGTAATATTAAATGATGGAATGGCCCAACCTAATATTTACAGACAAGGTTTATTGTCAATAAATAATAAATAACATTAAAGAAATATTCCAAACCGGGGTCAGACAACTTTTTCAAAAAAGCATCTTCACCTTGTGCAAACATTTTTGGTTAGTTTTATTTCGAAATTTGGTTTGTTAAAGCGATGAATGACAAGCAAATTGATTTGAGATCATCATTTTTAATAACGATAGTATTGTATTTTGAATCACATCTTTTATTTCTTACATAGTCGAAAGAGGGGAGATGAGCTTACAGCAGCATTTAACATTATGTTTCAAATAACTTTACAAGGTACATTAAATTATTTATAGGGAAGCTTGCAGTTACAACCAATCATAAAACATACAGTCAATTAAGTTTAATATGTTTCATAAGGTTTTAAATCTACTACTATTTAAATTAATCATAATACACAGGCGAATCCAGATAAAAGCCATATCCCAAGCGTACGGCGCGTTGCGTTCCGCGCGACCCTATAGGGCTGATGTTTAGCCGGGGTTGTGCGACAAGCGCAATAAGGCACGGCGGCCTCGGTCTATAGTAGGAGAAGGAACGGGTGTTTTTAGTCAGTAAGAGTTTGATGATGATGACAAAAATAAATAAAAAAAGAAAAGATATAAGCCAGTACCAAAATTTTTTCCTAGTACCAAAATAATGAAATGATATAATTATAGTCGAAGCATAAAAGCAAATGTAAAACAAAGAACATGACCTCTTTAGTAAGAACGTGCAGCTAAAAAGCAAGTAGGTATTAATGGAGTAGGTAAATGGCCCTACAACCTCCATCAGCCATGGAACAAAGGTGTATTGTCCAAATCGAATGTAAAACCTTGAACACACATCTGAGCCCTAGTTACTCGACATAAATGCACTGCACAGTTATTTGATAAGAAGATAAGAAAATCAAGATCGACTCAGTAAAGAGAGAGTCATTTAATAAGTCTTACTTGTATTATTAGCGTAAGGATGGAAGTATGGATAGATGTTTTTTTTCTCTCTCACAGAGATAAAATACAGTCTAGACAAGTAGTACCAGAATGTAACCTTTGATGTGTTGAAATGTGTTTATGTTTTATTCTAGTAGGTACTACGGACGAAGTTGCTGACGGAAACTAGTGTTATTCAATGACAAATTTAATGAATCAAATTATGATAGGATGTGAGCCATGTTTGGGCATGAAAGGTCCGGCTCGACCGAAATGATACCACGGCTTCACAGAATACCGGCGTGAAGTAACTTACGTAGGATTTCGCCGTGTGAGTGATGTTACTGGATGCCCAATCCTTTCCCCCGCCTTATTATCCTTAATCCTCAAATCCCTTATTACGTACGAAAGGCCGGCAAAGCACTTATGCGGGCGGCGCTAATTGCTAACCATCAGATAATCCGGTAATCAGTCTGCTCGTTTGACCTGACGAGTTGTGAAGTTTAATAAAAAGTGTGAACTGTGTCTGTAATGAAAAAATTAATACTAGCATATCAAATGTGCAGACTGTACATTTATCAAAGCCGGTGATCAATCAGTAGTTCTAATTCACTTTCTCTACACCTATTACGTAAACAGTTCTCCAATAGCAATTGTTAATGATTAGCCAAAGGAATTTGCAGTAATACTCATACAAACCACATGTTGAAGGTCTCCCATACAATTACA